GTTTTTGAAATGTACCCTTTTTACCCTTCGGTTCATTTTTAAGATTGTGAAAATGGAATTGTTAGAAATAGTTGGTCAGAAATATTGTTTTCCGAAACCAAGGTTCTAAAAGGCGCTAGGCGTAAGGCAGGCGCTCGGCTCCTGACTTGCGCCTTGTCTGATTAGGCATAGCTTAGGCGCGCCTAGGCGTTCAGAGCATAAATGTAAAAATTCTCAAATATTTCATGTTTTCTGGAATAATTCATACAATCCAAGTGCATATAAAATTAGCAATGCCTAGTTCTTAGCAGTTAACACTTAACATAACAAATAACAAGCAAATAGTGATCAATCATCTGCTAATAGGTGCTTATAGAGGCAAGAAGCTTGTGCTACATAGCGAGGAGAAGGAAGGAGCAGCAATTGACGAGTTTTGACTTTATTTCACTATAGCAGCGGAGCGGTGTGAAGGCGAGAAGAGTGATCGATGACTTTCTCCTGCGGCGGCAGAGAGCAGCAAATGGGGCGAGAGCTAGGGTGGCAGGCGGTAGCAGATGGGTCGAGAGCTAGGGCGGCAAGAGGCAAGTTTCTGATTTTCTAGGACAAAACAAAGAGTATTGAGTTTAACCGCCTAAGCTAGACCAGGAACGCCCAAGCACGCTTTCTCTCCACTATGCGCAAACTAAGCGCTATTCCTACCTACTAAGCACTACCAGCACCTTTTACAGCGCCTATGGCCAAGTCAAGGCGATCCTCCACCTCCTAGCGCCTAATTGAGCCTAGGCGTGCGCCTAGGCGCGCCTTCTTGAACCCTGTCCGAAACAGTGGATTAGTGGATTTCAAAATGAAAAACAAGTTTAAAAAATAAGTTATTGATGCAACTTGAACCCAGGACCACATGTTCGTAACGGAGATTCCAAACCAGTTACGCTACACACAATTTATGTACATTTTTTAATTATCTGTATCTAATTATTGTGTAACAGAATCATAACTGCAGAGAACTCTCTGTCTTCTGCAGATCAGTTCAATGTGTTTCTTCCCCTTGCAATAAACGAAGGCCGGTTCTTCCCCTGCAGACCATTTAATTCCGAAATTACAGGAAAAGGGAATGGCATCAAAACTGGTACAACGAATGGAGTATGTTCATCCAGTCAGTTTCTCTTAATTGCTCCAAATGACTTGTAATGTTAACCTATGTAAATGCGTTTATGGCCATGCACGTTATCCTGGTTTAGTGAACGTTCTAGCAACTTTGTGCATCCAAAGTTCCACAAGGAGCGGCCCCACTCCCACATTCACATAGGTGAGTCTATTAGGAGTACCCCCAAAGTAAAATACTCCACCCCACATAGGGTATAGATCTCATTAAGAGTTGTTAACTCAACCTCCATTGCTTTGGGATTCATGCTTCACTATGCATGAACTTTTCGCATACTACTAATGAATTGTTATTACCCATTGAACCCATTTCTTGGGATCTCCAGTCTATTGGGTCGGGTTACCATCACTTGTAGTTCGTGGCTCGGTAGGCATAAGTCTCATAACCTTGGCGGTATTCTGGACTTTCTCTCTAGGTAATCCTTTCGTCAAAGGATAAGCTAGATTATGTTCGGATCTTATATGATCCACCCTCACTGCTCCTATCGTTGGGAGTTCTCTTACAGTACTGTGCTTACGACAAATCTGTCGCTTCTTTTCGTTATAGAACCGGTTCTCAACTTTAGCGATAGCTGTGGTACTATCACAATGGATCAATACTGGAGGGACTGGCCTTTCCCATAGGGGAATCTCTAACAACAATCCAACTCTCTTCTTCACTAGCCGTTGATAGTGTTATCATCTCTGATTCCATAGTTGATTCAGCTAGGAGTGTTTGTTTCTTTGACTTCCAAGACACAGCCACCAGCGATGTTAAAAACATACCCGCTGGTTGTCATCTGATAGGGTATTCCAATCCGCATCACTATACCCTTCTAGTACAGCAGGTAACCTTTGATAGTGTATACCAAGGTTTGCTGTTCTCTTGAGGTATCTCATGATCCTCTCTATAGCATTCCAATGCTCTCTACTAGGACAACGGTTAAACCTGCCAAACAATCCCACGACATATGCAATGTCTGGTTGAGTGTAATCCGCAGCATAACGAAGACTGCCAATGATGCTCGCATACTCAGTTTGTCTTACACTGTCTCCAATGTTCTTAAACCTTACACTAGCATCATATGGAGTACACGCAGGTTTACAATCGAAATAGTTATATTTCTTCAAAATCTTCTCTATGTAGCTAGATTGATCTAGAGAATAACCATTTGCTGTTCTAGTTATCTAGATTCCAAGGATAAACTTTGCTTCTCCCAAATCTTTCACCATGGTTCCGTTTCGTTTTTAGAATCCATTTATTATCTAAGACTTTGCATCCAGGAGGTAAGTCTGTTAGATGTCAAGTCTTATTAGCTTCTAACGAATCCATTTCATATATAACGACCTCATTCCAAAAATCTGCATCTATGGAAGTTAATGCTTCCTGCAAACTTTTTGGATCTTCGAGGGTGTATACTGTAGTAAAGTCATCACCAAAATCTTTGGAGTAACTAGCTCTTTTACCTCTTTTGAGTTCATCCTCAGATCCAACACCTCCACTAGTTCCGTTATCTCTAATAGAGGGTAGTACATTACCCCCACTATTTCTCGTTTTAAATGGAAATCATGTCTCAAAGAAATCAGCATCAATGGATTCTATTATAGTACGAGCATTCAAATCATAGAATCTATATGCATTACTATTGGCCGCATAGCTAACAAAGACACATTCATATGCTCGACTAGCCAACTTAATCCTCTTAGGATTCGGAATTCTTACTTAGGCCAAGCAACCCCACGTTCTTAAATAGGACAGATTAGGTGGCTTATTCTTCAAGATCTCATAGGGTGATTCTTTTCTATTTGTTTTTGGAAGACGATTTAGCACATAGCAAACCATCAACAAAATATCACCCCACCAATAAGAAGCAGCTCCAGAATTGAGCATAATAGCCACAACTAATTCTGTAAACGTCCTATTTTTCCGCTCAGTTTTACCATTCATTTCTGGTGAATATGTTGTCGTGGTTTCATGAATGATACCATGTGATCTATAGAATTCCTTGAAGGGATTAGAGTCATACTCTGATCCTCTATCACTAATAAGTCTTTTTATCTTTCGATTGCACTGATTTTCAAATTCAACCACAAATACCTTGAACATATCAGGGGCTTCACTTTTGTTTTTCATCAAATAAACAAAGCAATAATCAGAGCAATCATCTATGAAAGTGATAAAGTATCTCTTGCTAAACCTAGTTAACGTCCCATCTAGTTCACAAATATCATAATGATAAGATCTAAGGGTTCTGATTCTCTACTCACATATTTAGGGTAAATATAATTTAATATCCAAACCTTTTATTTTAAACAATATAATAGCCAAACCTTTTCGAAAACAATATAATATCCAAATCGCCAACTTTCTGTCTGTTTGACCGTTAGTTGACACTTCAAAAAAGTTCGAAGTACGACACTTCATCAATATCCATCGATATCTTCTCTGAAAAACCACCAACATATCGTAGTTCCAAACCCGAGAAGTCCATGACTCCACCATGATGGTATAGAATATCTAAATATTCAGTCATCTGCAATGCCAAAACAAGAAACAAAGTTGTATTGTGACAATTTCCCCTAAACAAAACTTTTTTGAAGTGTCAACTAATGGTCAAACGAACGGAAAGTTGATGATTTGGATATTAGATTGTTTTTGAAAAGATTTGGCTATTATATGGTTTAAAATGAAAGGTTTGGATATTAAATTGTATTTACCCTACATATTTATGGGGCGTTTTCGTTATCTTAGCTTGGCCACATAAATCACATTTATCAAATTCATTCATTGAGAGTTTAGGGATATGTCCTAGCTTGCTTAAATTCTTCACAATTTGCGTGTTCACATGACAAAGACGAGTATGCCAAACATTCAAATCACACACCATGTAAACTGAATAATTCATCTTATTAATTTCGACATTCAACTTGAACATCCCATTACATGCATATCCCTTTCCCACAAAACTCCCATTCTTAGTAAGGGTATACAAGTCTGCCCCAATAGATTGATTAAACCCAGCCTTATTAAGAAGATATCCCGAAACAAGATTCTTCCTTATCTCTAGAGTATGCAACACATCCTTAAGCACCATCTTCTTCCCAGAGGTGAAGTTCAGCTCCACTTCACCAGAACCAGCAACCATAGTGGTGTGGGTAGTCCTTAACATCACTTTCTTGTTAGCAGGTGCTTTTGTGTATGTTTTAAACATAGCACGATTGTTGCATACATGCTTCGATGCACCTGTATCCAACCACCATCCTTCTGAGTTACCTGTGAGGTTGACTTCTGCGATCATATCCGTGATCATGGCTATTAAATCCTCTTCTGTCAAGTTAAAATTTAATGAATATTTTTATACGAGTTTTTTTTGTGAGATAGTTTAAACTCTTTGTTAGAACATAATTTGGACTTGGAATTGCTTTTGGTTAACGGAAGTTATAGTTAGTAAAATATGGTAGGGAAAGTTACGTACGTATGGGTATTATACTTCGTCTCTAAACTAAAGTTGCTTTAATAGTACGTTAATAGTCATAAATATATAAAATTAAGCATTTAAAAAAAAAAAAAAATAATTGTAAAGTAAACAATTTAATTCGTAAAATACGGATAATAAACGTGTTATACGGGTTTTATACATGTTTAGTACGGGAGCCATAAAATGAACGGGAAAAAATGAAACAGTTTGACAATATGAATACGAAAGTTTTAAACGAATAAAGTACGTACGGGTACATATACGTGTATATGGAGTATTTACTAAGTTTTAAGCAGTGTATTATAAACAGCTACCAAAATTTTTATAGCCATTAGAACTCACTAAAATCTTATAGCAAATTTAAGTAGTGTATTATAAACTACCAACTTTTTCGGTTCATCCCCAAACCGACCGTTGCTCTTCCTTCCTTCCCTGCCTGCCGGCTGCCGGTCACTAGCTGCCGGTCACTAGCTGCCGCTTCAACTCTTTCATTCCCATCTCTTGCTGCTCTCCCGTCACTTTGACCTGCCGCCATTACGACCTGTCTATTCTCCTCTCCAAGTACCTCCTTCCCCGGACTCCTGTAGCCCACTACACTTCCTCTGTCAATGATCCTTTTGGTTTTGGTTTTGGCTATGGGCTTTGTCGATTCACCTTGAAAACCCTTATACCCAACTTGCCACTACACCATACGTGAACTCTTTTGGTTCAGAAACAATACATTTTAGAACATCGGTAAGTGAATTCAGCTTATCAGAGCCTAGGGTTAAGCAAGATGCCACGAACCACCACTGTGGAGTGCCCCGGCTGCCCTCCGCTTCGAGCCCTAACCTTCGACGCTCTAGGTCTCATCAAAGGTTGTGATAATGGCTGCCCTGCTGCTAATGCCACGGATTGAATTTATAAAATTGGATACTGATTGCTATTTTTTTTTTTTTTTTTTTTTTTTTTTTTTTTTTTTTTTTTGCTTATCTCAGTCACAGAGTCTCGAGGCAACAGCGGAGGAATTCCTCAGGTGGTGGAAAGATGGGGGGATGCCGATTCCTCAAAGTGCGTGCTTGCTGCCTCTATTGATGATCGTGCAAACGACCCAGTATGTTGTAAAAACTGTAGCTTCTTCTTGGGTTTTCAAGTTCTGATTTTTAGTAGCTTTGCTGGTTCTGGGGATTGTTGTGCTTGCTTCTCTGTTGCACTTATCATCTCTTACACCTTTGACTGTTTAGTTTTCCATTCTCTGCAGATACTAGCTGTTGCGAGGAAAAATGGCACTGTGAGTTACTTCATTTGTGCTGTCTGGCTTTGAGGATATGGTATCGTGAAAAGGATTTTCCCTAGTTTCTACTTACCCGGGCTTCATATGTAACAGATTGAAATTTCCAATCCTCTTAGTGGTGACATTTTTGTGTCCATATCTGATTTTGGTGACGGTGATGGTCACCCTGAAGATGATGATATTGCTGGTTTACATATATTCAAGAAGAGCAGATCGGTGGGGTATGTGCGCTTAGTGATAAATAGTGTCATTCCAGTGTTCACCATGTGTACAGTCACAAGCAACTATCTTGGTAATATGCTCACTGTTGGTTTGTAGATCATGCTCTTTGCTTACATGTACAACCAAAGGCAATGCAAGTTTGAGGTCAGTCGACATTGCACCTACAGAGAGCATCAACAATGGTGCCTCTAATTCGTGGAAAGTTTGTGCTGCTGGTAAGGTCTTATGTGCTAAAGTCCATGGAAGTGAAAAACATGCTTTATTTGGAGGGTAAGTGCATTCGCTGTCTGACTATCTGCTTTTGGCTTGTATTTCTCAAATCTTGAAGAAACTAAGTTTTCCTTCAATTCAGGAAAGGCGTTGAAGTTAATTTGTGGGATCTTGAGAGCTCTACTAAGATTTGGGCTGCAAAACCTGTGAGTTATATGCATTTCTTTCTCTAATTGCAGGTTATAGAGAAAGGCCTGTGTTTATTCACTTATTTCAAGTGTGTTTGCCTAAAGCAATTCAATTCCTACCTCTTTTACAGCCTCCCAAAAACAACCTTGACATCTTTACCCCAACATGGTTTACCTCTGCAACATTCCAGACGGGGGATGATCACCGGAAGTTTGTGGCTGGCACCAACAGCCACCAGGTGAATTTTCATTACAGCTATTTCTTTTTTCTGGAACAATTGATAAGATTTAGATTAGATGCTCTTCTAGATCATGATGGACAGGCAATATAAGGTTATACTGTGTTACGATATGTCCATACTGAAATGAAATTGTGTTAACTTTACTGTCGTCTAATATATTGTTTACTAAATAGGTCCGTGTCTATGATACTTCTACTCAACGCCGACCTGTGATCTCTTTTGATTTTCGGGAGACCCCTATTAAATCAGTTGCTGAAGATCATGATGGTTATACTATTTATGTGGGGAATGGCTCTGGTGATCTTGCGTCTATCGACACCCGCACAGGTACTTTAATGCGTGGGCCATCATATTTGATTGATCTCTGGTGATACTTTATGTGTTTAAAAGCATTACTTCGATTGCCTCTGTTGCTATTTTTTGTTTAACGGTTCCTTTTCTGTAATTTTTTTCGACAGGAAAATTAGTAGGTTGCTTTCTGGGGAAGTGTTCTGGAAGCATAAAATCCATAGCCCGACATCCATATCATCCGGTGATAGCATCATGCGGTGAGTGATAATGCTTGTGGCATATTAGTAACTGAGACTAGTGATTCAGTACAGCGATCAAGTTTTTTTCTGCGTTGGTTCTCCCATCGTTCTGTGTTCTCGAGTATCGATTACTTAACTGCTTTTGCCCTTTTTAGGTCTTGACAGCTACTTGCGTTTGTGGGATGTGAAAACAAGAGAACTTCTTTCAGCTGTAAGTTTCCCGTCCCACTGCCCCCTCCCTCACAACCCCCCTTGGGCCCCTCCTTTTTCTTATTATTTCCATTTAGTTCTAATTACTGCACAATTTCTATTGCTTTCACAAATCTTTTGGCACCTGGCTAATTTGTCTACAAATAATTCTTGCATGACGCAGACTTTCCTGAAGCAGCATCTCACATGTGTCGTCTTTGATTCCAATTTTTCTGACAAAGGTTAGTGCTCGTTCTTTAGTTGATAGTGTCTGCTGGGAGAATTAGCATTAGTATTTGCATCATCATCTAGGACAGGAGAAGATTGTGAAGCGAGCATAGAACTTGATCATGGAGAAGTTTGAGTATTACTTGAGTATCCATGCATGCAACTAACTAGTTTACTAGCTAGGTGAGTCAACTAATCAAGAATACTCTTCTTAAAACGTGTTTCACAAGCAGAAGTAGTAGCTCCTGATGCACAGCACGCGGATGAGATCCCAGGAGAAGTTGAGCAGGAAGCTTTGAAGCTTGCAAAGAGAAAAAAGTCCCCAGAAGAAATGAAAGGCAAAAAGAAGAAATCTAAGGATGATGGAAGCAAGAAATCCAGGAAAAAGAGCCGCCAGATGGAGAGCGAGGAGTGTGATGATTCATAATACAGCACGTTAATGTAAAGCTTGTTACTTCGTTTTGATCGTGAGTTTTCAAAATATACAGGTGGTTTTGAGCTAGATAGATTGCTAAAATATATTGCTTAGAAGGATGTTTGAATACCCATGAACTGAACTTTCAAATTATACAACTTGTTCTCTTTCTTTACCACTTCTTGGGCGTCACTGTGATTCTCCTTTCTTCCCCATTTTTTGGTTGTCGGTAAGTCAAAGTGTGGCGGCTCTGTTACCCCTATCGAGCAGAACTCGGATTCTCCACGGCGAGATGGTAATTGTTCAAGAGGGGCGGGATACTGTCACTTTTTTTTTTTTTTACTTAGATAGCTCTGTAATAGGTAGGGAATTACACAAAGTTGAAAAATAAATAACGAAAATCAGCCTAGATCTACGACCATTCCAACCTCCGCGACGATTGACGATATGCAAGAGAAGAAATCGAGGGCGGGCCCTATGATTCTCTTCGCAGCAGCGTCGCACGGGAATCCGTTCGTGGCAACCACGGACTGGGAGATGGTGGAAGAACCACTGCCGAAGCTGAGTCTAGATGACCGACGACCGCCTTGCTGCAGGGTGAGGTACGCGTTGGCGGACGAGGAAGAGAAGGAGGGCGGAGACGTCTTCCGTTCTTGCACTGTTTGAGGATCCAGCGTGGTAATGCGGTTGCCGATTGCGAAGGGAGAAGAGGCGCCACGATCGCCGGCAGTTCCAGTCGCGACGACGATGGAGGATCGAAGGACTGGCGCGACACACGACGAGCCGGAGAAGGAAGGCAAAGCTAAGTTGGAACTGGGATCGGGATTGCCTCCTAACCGTCGGGTGAGTCGTTCACCGTTGGAGTTGAGGCTGTTCACTGCGGCGGTCGAAAGAGGAGAAACGAAAGGGAGGGCGAAGCTGGTGGAGGAATCATCACCGGAGACAAAATCAAGAGCTGAGCAACTGGTGGAACACTCGCCGATGGATTGGAAGATGATGCTCCGAGTCAGAATTGACCGCCGACGCAAGGCGGAGGCGGAGTCGAGCCTTCGGTTGGATTGCTCGCTGATAGGGAGAAGGAAACTGAAGGCGAGTAAGGGAAGGGTGAAGAGCGGCGATTCCTCTCTACTCACAAACCCTAGGACTCCCTCCTTGGGCCGTGAAGCACTTCTGAGCAGAAGTGGTCGTGGGCCTCACGGGTCAGTCGGGCTCGACTTGACCAGGCTCACGAGCCGAGCGGGCCGAAAGCTGGTCGGAAAACTGGGCTTTTTTTGGGCCGAAGGGATCAGGAGGACAGACCAAGGTTTTGGGTAAGTTGGGTTAAGCAAAAGCTTATTCGTGGGCCAAATGACAAAGGAACCGGCTGGGTTCTTGGTAATGCTAGGCTGAGCTTTCACGTAGACTGTTTTATTGGACCTATTTTGCATTGAGATAATTTAAATAAGGAAGGAAGTGGGCTTGAGAGAAGGCATGACTCAATGCAGATTGAAGAAACCATGGACCAAGCTAGTGAGCTAGCACTAAGAAAACTTTTCGAGGGCCTTGATGAATTGGTACTTAAAAATGGTTTGTTGAACAAGAACGAATCCTTGAGTTGCTGGAGGACGATGACCACAGAATTATTGAAGTACGAGGGCGCGAGGATTGGGCCATCATAATTGAAGCTCACAACTTTACCGCGACACTAGGAGTTCGAAGCAAGAAGCCCAAGACTAGAGTTGGATCATGATTGGAAGAAAAAGAAGTGCACGACACGGAGCAAGCGATGCATTTGATCGCACGAGAAGGATGAAAGAGTGGGCCAAGTTGTCCAACCTTGAGGGCAATGTTGGTCTGAAGAGGAAGGAGATGTTAGAAACCGATTTCTGTAGGATTTCTCTATTCGATATTATAATTATATTAGGGTAATCATCAAACAGGTCAGTAGTCTTTTAGTAGAATTAGGTTTATTAGTAGGGTTTGTGGCTTCCGCGGCAATGGGGGGATCAGCAGCTGAACATTGTTCGGAGTTGGAGGCCACCACCGAGGGCTGCTTGGTGGCGCAGGGCGAATGGCTGGAGTTGCAGGCGGCGCAGACGGAGGCGGCTATGTAGTCCCTCCAGACCAATGTGACGGGCATGCTCGAGCGAATGGCAGCGAGGACAGATCGACATGCGTGGCTGAAGGCCACGACTGGCGCGAGATTGTTTGGCGAGCGTAGCCTGACCTGCTCGACGCGGAACAACGGCTGCCGGCGGACAAAAGCTGGTGGGGAGGAGAGCAAGCCGTGCGGCAGCGCGAACACTAGCGCAAAAGGGGACAACAACGGCGACGCCCCTTTCCTCGCCAAGCTCGCGAGGCTAGAGTTTCCAAAGTTCATTAGCGACGACCCAGGTGCGTGGTTTCCACGCGTTGAACAATTTTTTGAGCATCACGAGTTGCCAGGAGAGTAGCGTGTCGGGTTGGCTTCATTCCATCCGTAAGGAGAGGCCAATCATTGGTAGCACTGGGTGAAGCAGACATAGAAGGAGGTTGGGGAATCGATTACATGGGAAGCATTTTCCCAGGAGCTTTGGGCACGTTTCGGTCCGACGGAGGGCGAGAGCTGTGATGAGGCACTATCTCGTATGCCAGATTGGTTCTCTGCGCGTACCAACGCGACTTTGAGAAGCTTGCTAATTGTTGTTTCGGTTGGACGCAACAGACGCAGGTGGGGACGTATTTGGGCGGATTGAAGGCATAAATTGCGGACGAAATTCGAATGTTTCACCCTCAAACCTTACGGGATGCGATCAGTTTGGCTAGAATGAAGAGCGACCAACTGCAGCGTCATAAACCGGCTTGTCGGATGGCGCCACAGGCAGGTACCGGGGCAGGTGGCTATGGTGGCGGCGGCGCCGGTGCGTATGGGCCGAGGGCGGTCACTGCGGGGCCTTCGGGTGGTATAGGACCTCCTCGCTGGCCTCCAGGCAGTAGTGTGGCAATTTTCCCATACCCATGGGTTTTTTACTATCCAACCCAATTAGGTTGGGTATGAAATCCAAATAGATGGATATGGATAGAGTTTGATGGGTTTGTACCCATACCCACTTACTTGGATTGGGTTTATAACAAATGGATTTGGGTTTGTACCCATGCCCAAATAAAAATTACACTTTGGTACCTAAACTTAATAGATATGCATATTTAGTACCTAAATTTAATTTTTTGCATATAAGTCCTCAAAATATTGATGGAAAATTACATTTTGGTACCTAAAAATTTTTGTTCTTACATTTTGGTACCTAAACTTTTCAAGTTTTACAAATAGGTCCAATTTTTGCATGTGTAGTTAAAACACCCTCAAGTAAATGGATATCCATATCCAACCCACACCCATTTAGATTATGGAAGCAATATCCATATCCATACCCAACCTATCTACAAACCCCCAAACTCATATGCACTTCAACCATACCCAACCAACTATCAATGGGTCTACTTGGGTTTGGGTAATAATTACCCATGGGTGGGTAATTGCCATCCCTACCGGGCGGTAAGCGTTTGAGTTGGGAGGAGCAACAGCTTCATCAAGCTCAAGGGTTGTGCTTCAACTAACGACGAGCGGTACACCATCGGGCACAAGTGTAGTAACGCGTGCTTGTTCGAAGAAGAAGACTTTGAGGGTCAACCTTGGGGACAAGTTGATTTCGAGGGGGAAGGATTGATGAGTGGATTTTTTGGATTGGGCTTAGGGCTAGTAGGTGTTGTTGGTTTCCTTCTGGGTTTGGGTTTTCGTAGGCGGCACGGTAAGGGTAGCCTATTAGGAATGGGTTTCCGGGTAGCATTAGGGTTGCATATTAGATTTTCTATTCAATAAATATGTAAGTTCTGTGGTAGTCCAGTTTATCGAATAATAAAACTAAAGGTTTATCGACACCAACGTCGTTCTCTCGCTTGTGAGCTACAAGCAACTCCTGAACCGAGAGCGTCGATTCATCATCTTACCAGGAAAATGATTCGAACACTCCCGCACTCTTCTTCTTAAAGAGTAGTATCCAATAGGATATTTTGTGTTGAAATCATGGTTCAACCGTTTCATACCATTAAAAATAGCCTATCAGTTTAGGTTTTGGTAGGAGGTTCTTTTATGTATGCAATTAGGGTTGGAGATCGGTCAATTTCGGTTTGACCAAAAACTGAATATTTGGTTAACGGTTAACCGAAACACCTCCCAAACCTACCAATCACCGATCGAAAGAGGGCTCAATGCTTCGGTTAACCAAACCACTTCAAAGACCAAAACTAAAACCATCTCGCCTAGCCTCTGAACATCGACCGACTTTCGATTATTCAGGTTTTTGGTTAGTGGATAACTGACTGATTTTGGTTGTAACCGATCGATTAACCGCTAACCGGGAACCGATGGTCCAGCCCTATATGCACTTGGGATTAGGGCATATATGATTTCATGTTCCTATCGCATATCCATGTATACTAAAAATAACGAAATCACTACAGATTATAGGGGTTAGCACCGTGATAACTAGCAAAAAACGTTACTAAAAATAACGAAATCACTACGGATTATTATAAAATCAATACAACATCTAAGCTAAATCACTACTAATTCAAACTAGTAGTAGTTTTTCCCTTGATTAGGACGGTGCTAACTATTGTACAATTAGCACCGTAGCCGTTCCCGCGACAAATTAGTCGACACTAAATATTTTTATCTCATGATTGATCGACAATGAAGTTTAGTGTGGATTAAGAATCGACAATAAATGGTTCGCCAGTAAAACTCATAAGATGGATCGCCAAATTTGACCTATGGAAAGTAAAATTAATCACTACGATATTATTCTTTATTGACTTCATGATTTGTCCCAATACTTTTCCATGGGTCACAAATTCCTTGAAGGTTTAAAGCCACCGCATCTTCGCAACGATGCTTATGTCACTAAATGTGCCTAATGGTTGCTAAAAGTAGAGTTCTCATTCTTTGTACCTGTAATCACAATAAAATAAAAACTCGTCCAAAAACTATTACTACAATTCTCAATAAAAACTCATTCACAAAGCAATTCCTACTCAACCTGATAATCTCTTTGAGAACCATTCATGTTATAAATCCGAAGTAAAACCTTTCACAATACATCACAAAATTCAAATATCAATTTAAAAGAAATTACATGACTATAACTACAAGTAAATGTTAGTTCAATGGTACTAACAAGTATTCAATGCAAAACTTATACCTTGGTCAAACACAAAACATACGAGATGAACAAACTATTGTTATATGAAAAAAATGTAACAGATAATATAATAATTCACCAACCCTTCCAAATCCATAGAGAAACAAAGGGATGGACCAAAATAGTCACATAACAGAGAGAACACTCCACATGAATTTACTAAGGCAAAAACATACCCGCGATTTAAATTATTAGAACCCAATAGTAACAGGAAAAGGGCCGACATTGCCAATATTCAAAAGAAAATAGCTGCATGTATTTTATCATTCAAAGCGGAACAAACTTTCTTTGTAGACATTCCAGCGCTCGAGCATGCAATTGGATATCAACAACTTACACTCTCGAGTATTCATATCAAACAATACCATATCCTTGCGAGGACCCGAAGTCTGAGCAACAAGTTGATCATCCTTCCAACACCCTTGCACATGTAATTGTTCAGGGAGAGGGTCGAGGCTTGAATACTTCATCCAATACCATCCCCCACCACTTCTACTAAGCAACCACACTTCCACACTCAAACTATCCAACTGCCGAAACAGAGCAATCGACGAATCACCGTACTCGCTAAGATTGCAACTCCAAGAAGCGCCGAAAGGGCAGTTTATCTTGTGGAAAACATCACTCGCCATGTCGAACGCCACCACGAAAATCCCATGGCGATCCATAGAGAGACGGTAGAGAAACCCTTCAAGTATGTACACCACCTGAACATGCTGTGGGTCAATTCTCGCTTTTCCTGGTACGGGTACTTTCGGGTAGCTCCCTCCAGCAGTTACTTCGCAATGTATACACAAAAACCGGTGAGGGGTAACCGAGGTAAGGTGGGAGGGCATTGTAACGAGTACCACGATATACATAGTTACGAATCAGAACGACTTTGATATCATCATCAGCTAGCCCAATTCCACAGTAATCAGAGTAGTGCCAGAGATAGTGATGCAGAGGATGAGATGGGTCGAGCTCCGGAGCCAGAGGTGGGTCGGGAAGCTGCCTGATTTCTCGCGTTGCTGGGTTCCATAAATGGTAGTGACCATGATGGAACACATTTGGACCGCCGAGAAGTAACACGCCGTTGCCGGCGCCGCAGACGAGCCTCGCGAGATCGCCGGTAGCCAGAGTGGTCGGCGGTTGAGCGGGATCATCATCTTCAGGGGAAAGTGAAACCAATCGCGTGCCACGCTCGTGGTAGCTGCACAAGAGGGAGGCCCTGGTGTAGTTTTTGAGGTGCGTGGAAACGAGGTACGGACTGGTTGGAATCATGGCGTCCCAAGTTGTGCAGACGGACTTGAATCGGAAAAGGGTTTTCACCGGAATTCGAGACAGAATCCCAATCACGACATCCAGAGGCAATTCGCCAGATTCTACTGATTCTAGTTCTATTCCCATACTGGAAGGATACTGCACCAAGAAGAAGAGAGCGATTATTGGTCCGCCGCTGCGGATTAGGTTAGAAGAATTTCAGGGCGACGCCGCGGCGGAGAGTCGATGATTTCCGCCACGGATTGCGCTCCCTGAAACAAATCAGTGTTTATTATTATTATTATTATTATTATTATTTTTTTTTTTTTCTTGCATAGTTCACTTCCAGGCCACCGACGATTAACTATGTTTGGGCCCAAAGCCCGTTAATAGAGTGATTTCTCGTCATTGGAATTGGATATCCACACATGAGAATGATCGTCCAGATATCCTCTAAGTGATAAAGATTAAGGGGTCGTTTGAATGTGGTAATATAACGTCAGAATTGAGTTCAATTCTCATATAATGCAGTAATTGAATTAAAATCTTACGTTTGGATAAGAAAAAATGATGTGGTAATTGGACAGAAAACCCACATTCGTGGGAATTGAAAATACGGCACCTATCCCTCGGAATTGTCAATTCCCACATTTTGTTTCTATTTATCCCAATTATATCCCTCCCTCCTTCCTTCCTTTCTCTATCCCTAAACCCTCTTCTTCCTCATGACTATCGACTGTAGCGTCTTGTTCTTTTTCAATTATAATTGAACCAACTCTAGCATCTGGATCAATCAACGACTTGGAGCTTAGATAAGAAGAATCAAATACCCTCCATGTTTGTTGGTCGCCAACGAGAGAAGGAAGAAGGTCCCGGATGACCTACTGCGTGAGATTCATGAAGGGTGTTATGTGGCATGAAGAGGAAGAACGACGCGAAGCTCAAAGAGGAAGAATCAAAATCCGACTCTGTTTGGTAGTCGTCAGCGAGAGAAGAAGCCTCTTGATTTCCTCTTCCTTTCTCCTTCCCTGTTGCTATGAGAATTCCAACGATTAGTAAGGTCTACTTGTGTTGTGCTGCTCTTGCTGCTGCTAGTGCTACTGCTTATGCTGTGGTGCTCCTGCTGCTTTCCCGTTGTTGTGTTGCTGCTTCTGCTCTTGCTATACTACTGCTATGATGTTTCTCTTCTGCTTCTTCTGCCTCTACTTTATCACTGGTTGGCACCAAGAATTGGGGGATTATATGGCGGAGGGCTTAGAGTGGATAGGAATGGGACGTACGATTAGTGTTTTGCTTTTCTTCTTTGTATTAGTATTAGAGAGATGGGATTGAAAACAAAAATTTAGGATTGATTATCCTTGAAGTTGTGAATTGATTATTCTTGAAGTTGTGTGTTCGTTAGAAGCTCGTATCATATGTAAAGGGGCAAATTGGTACTTCAATTAAATGCAACACTATCAATTTCCACACTGTTCAGCTCATTCCAAACATGGAATTTCGGTCAAATTCCACAAGTCAATTCCCAGGTTTTCTATAACGTGAAAATTAAGACCAATTCCCACATTCTCAAATTTCCACATCCAAACGACCCCTAATTGTGTTTCTGCATAGTTCACTTCCAGCTCCAGGCCACCGACGATTAAATGTGTTTGGGCCCAACACGCTATCCTCCCCGGTCGATTTCACACAGCCTCGAAGCCGAACCCGGTCAACGGCGGCTGATCAATCTGGGCAAGCAGGTAGCCGAGGATGTCATCTGCGGTGGCGGTGGGGGAAACAACCTGTTTCTTCTCGTCAATCCATGTAGGCGCTACCCTGATTACCGCTTGTGGAGCCCGGCAACTCGTGAAAACAAGCTTCTCCCCGACCCTCCTCTGTCGCCTATGATCATTAGCTATACCTGCCCTCTATCAAACAAGAGTATTGAGGATTGAAGAATGATCCATTGAAATGAAGGTGCAGCTGCAGAATGGAGATGAAGAACATAGAAGAAACGTTTCAAGGACGGTTTCTCCATCTACGCAAGTGAAGGACGAGACGACATCGTTTAGGCCTAAACTTACTGTTAGATGGAGAAGATGAAAGCTAATGGAGACGCGACACTTGGCCTATCATTTACTGTTAATTTAAATTACAGTTCATCTTCATTTCCTATTTTACTGTTTGTACGAACTCGTTGCTTTTGACAGTGATATAGAAACTAGAGAGCAGAGAACCTTGCTCCTTTGCGGGTTCCATTTCATACCACCTTGTTCCTTCTTCTTCCTACAAACCCTAGTTGCTATGTTTTTCTATATGGTATCAGAGCTGAACGAGATCTAGTCATCTACAATGGCGAACACTCCAACGCCACATTGTACTCAGCTAAACAACGGAGCCATTCCTTTCGGCTCGTTTGATGCACAGTCAAGCGGCGCTACCAACAACAACAATGGAAATGGACGAGGAGATCTTCAATTTGGTAATCCCTTTTACATCAACCCAAATGAAAACATTTCTCAGTCGATTGTCTCGGAGAACCGAGATGGCCCAAACTATCAAATGTGGCAGAGGGCTATTCCTATGCCCCTGAAAACAAAGCACAAAGTTGATTTCATCGATGGATCCATCCCCATGCCTGATGTAGGATATCCAACTTATGGGTTTTGGGATGCATCCAACACTCTTGTCCTGTGCTAGATGTTCAATTCAATTGACAAGGAGATTAGGCGAAGTGTTATGCAACACAAGACGCAAGAACTCTTTGGGAGGAATTGAAGAATCAGTTTGGTTTACCTAATGCAATTAAGCTTGCTAACCTGAACGACTAGATCATTGCTTGTAAACAAGGTTCCTTGAACATTACCCAATATTACACTGCCTTCAAGGGTCTTTGGGAATAAAATATGCAGTTTAATCCTATTGTTTAATGTTGAATGTGATTGTGCCCCCCAAAGAAATTGACCTTGTCCAGCTTTGGAGGCTTTCAAGCAGAATCAAGAAGTTGAATATCTCATTCGTTTCTTAAAGGGGCTTAGGCCAGAATATGATGTTGTCCATGCTCAACTCCTAATGATGAAACCGTCGCCTACTGTGGATAGGGCTGTCAATGATCTTCTTCAACATGCACAGAAAATTAAAGGTGACAAAGGAGGAGTGACTCGAGGAGTTCAAACTATGGCTCTTGCTATACCAAGGAACTCTGGGAATCACCAGAAACCTACAGAAGAGTCAGATGGGAAAAAGTTCTGCAGGTATTGCAAGAAAGAAAACCACACTACTGAAGATTGTTATAGCTTGAAGAGGAAAAAGTTCAGAATGGCAGGAGAGAATGTTGTAGCTACTGTCTCTCAAAGGATTCCTCCACTGATAGTGACTCTGCTAGTTCAGACACAAAACTGAGCATTGACACTAGAAACTCTAATTCAAGTTTTGGATTATCTTCACAAGAATTGAACAAGCTCAAGCTTTTGCTCAACTCTGTTTCACCTTCTCCCAATCCTTCTCCACCTGCATCACCATCAATTAACCATTATGCCTTCTCTGTGGCATGATAACGATGTAATTGCACATATTTGCGCCCCTAATTCTTATCCGTTTGAGGGGCATAGTCGTGTATTTTTGGCCTATTTTACGCCGGGTTGTGCTACTTTGTCATATTTCAGGTCCCAGGCGACAAAGGAAAGGCTAAGCACGAGTTTTGGGGCATTCGGAAGTCATTCGGTGAAGTTGGAGCCAAAACACGGGCACACCTAAAGCATTACACGGCCGTGTTCTGAGGCCGTACTTTTACTGCCGAGAGCTAATTCGAGTTTGGCAAACATTGGCTAAAAACACGGGCAGGGCTTAGACAAAGCACGGCCGTGGCCACCACAAGCACGGCCGTGTCCATCATCAAACACGCCCGTGTTTCTCCCAACACAATGGCCGTGTAATTAACCCTAGCCAAAGCACGGACGGGCTGAAGCAAAGCACGGCCGTGCCCTCGACCGTGCTTTGGCCACTGATGCCCTTTTAAGCAGATTTCAGCCAAAACAGAAGGGGATTCGAGTTTTGAGAGAGATAGAGTGATTCCTAGAGAGAGAAAGCGACGAACAAGAGTCTCCAGGTGCCCTAGCTTGATCTTCAACACGATTGGAGGCCAGTTTGAGCTTGGAGAAGTGCCAATCAACGTCCAGGAGCAGGAATCCATCCTTCACAGTATGAATTCCGCGTCTGATTCTGTTTTTGCTTCTTTCTCCATGGAGTAGTTCTCCCATTCATCTGGGTATGGAGAACCCTAGATTTGTATGTTAGGCTTTGATTGTATGAACCCATGTACTGATTCTATGATTTGATTATGTTCAATTGAGGTTTGAATGATTGAATGGCATGAATCCTGATCAAATTCCTATTGTTTCTGCTTTAACCTAGAATGAGAATATCTGCTTAGGTTGATAGAGCATCCTTGATTGAAGGTAGGGAGTTGGTGACTTTAGTCGAGGAGCCAACTCACTATTCTGTACCGGATTCACTTCGGTAGTGGAGGTTTTGTTCATAGGGCCTCAATCTGTTTACTCCGGTGGAGGTTAGTCGCCCGCTAGAGACTCAGATTGAGAGGGTCCGAAGACCTTTAGTCGAGACTTCAGCCTGTTTAAGAACCTTCCGCAGTATAACTATCATATAAACTGAACTTGGTAATTACAATCCGGCTTAACTGCAGTATAGGGGGAACCATATTCGGGTGACCTCTCTTAACCTGAATACAACCGTTTACTTGCTTTGTTAGTTTGTTAGTTTAGACTTGCATTAAAGTTTCATTGCTAGATAACAAGAATTCACCGAGTAGTCATCAAATCTAGGACCCGGGTTGACATTTAAACCCAAACCCGCTATACTACGCTTTAGGAAGTGGTTTCACTTCGCCAATTCCTAGGGTGACAGTAGAAGTGAGTCAAGTTTTTGGCGCCGTTGCCGGGGACGGCTAGGTTGTTAAAGAAAAGTGATTTCTGTTAATTTAGCTTTTCTTTTTGCTTTGTTTGCTTTGTCCCACTTGTGCCTTCACGGGTTTGCTTGCTTGAGTGTGTGCAGGTAGTGCATGACCCGTAGCCAGTCGGGAGGTTTACTGCCCTTGAATCCAGAGATTGACCGCACCTGTCGCCAACTCAGGAGACAACAGCGAGCTAGACTGGCTACGGAAGAGCGCATAGACGACCACCTGAGCAGCGATTCTGAGGAATAGTACAGGATGGACGGAGAGTACAATCAACACCAGAGGAATCCTCAGCAGGCTCCCCCTGGGAATCAGGTCCTGGGGAACAACCCCATACCCCAGGATCATGAGGTTCATCATCCACCGCCGCCGGGTCCCACCTTGGAGTACTACTACACTCCACGGATTGCTGACATCCGCCCGGTCATCCTCTACCCGCCTATTCCAGCAAACAACTTCGAGATCAAGCCATGCTGGATTCAGCTCATTACATCCTCTATCCAGTTCCATGGCTTGAAGGATGAGGAGGCCAGGGTACATCTTTCCCGTTTTCTGCAGCTGACGAACGGGTTCAAGCTGAATGGTGTCCCTGATGATGCAATCCGCCTTCACCTTTTCCCTCATTCTCTGGCAGGGAATGCTAAGAGGTGGTTGGAGACCAAGCCCCCATTGTCCATCACCTCTTGGGACGATCTGGCTGACAAGTTCGTGCATAGGTACTATCCGGCATCGAAGACTACAGAGATCCAGCGGGAGATCACTCACTTCCGCCAAGAGCCAGATGAGTCGCTTCGTGATGCTTGGGAGCGGTACATGGGATATTTCTGGCAGTGTCCCCATCATGGCTTTAGTGATGCATTCACAATGGGGAACTTCTACAGTGCTCTCTCTCCAGACAGCCAGAGGGTGATGGAGTCTCTATGCCCAGGAGGGGATATTCTTACTAAAACTCCACCCGAGCTGAACCAGATGATCAATACCTTGGCTGCCAGAGATCATTCTTGGGGGCAGAGCAGCAGAGGCAGACATTCCCGGGACCGTGGTGTGCACGCCATGGAGACCAGATCCGGGCTCGAGCAACAGGTAGCTGAGTTGGTGCAGAAATTGAAGCAGCCCAATAGTCTTATTCCGGGCAGAGGTTTGGCTACACCTCCAGTAGCTCAATGTCAGTGGTGTGAGAGCTCAAATCACCTAGTGGAGGACTGCCAGGCTATGAGGGAGTCTACTACTCCCCAAGAGTAGTTGGACTTCATCGCCAATGCTCGGCGCCTCGACCCGTACAGCAACACATATAATGAGGGGTGGCGCCAGCATCCCAATTTCGCCTGGAGCAGCAACACCACTAAACCACCTGGTTTCCCAGCACCAGCCGGTGGTTTTCAGCAGATCCAGGCTAGACAGGGGCCAGCCCCACAGCAGCAGCCCTACCATCCTAGGCAGGGGAAACCATTCCAACAGCCCCAGCATCAGTTTGCCGAGCCAGCACCAGCTCCTGCCCCAGATGACCGGATGACAAAGCTGGAAAATATTCTAGCTTCATTCATGACTAGCACTTAGGCAACTATCACGAGGTTGGACCAAAGCGTAGCCTCATTGGAGGCAGGTCAGAGGAACCAAGGTGCCATTTTGCAAGATCTGCAGCACCAGGTGGGTAACTTGGCCCGCCAAAACACTACCAGGGCACCGGGGACTCTGCCTGCCACCACTATGACGAATCCTCGTGATCCTCACCAGCATCAGCAGCTGGATGCCATTTTTACCAGGAGCGGTAAGCCCATATATGCTGATCCTGCCCCGGCCAGGCAAGAGGAACCACTACCTGCTTCAGCACTTCCAGCCGACGGTGCAGAAGTGCGGGTGGAGAAGGAAGCCCCTGCTCCCAAGCCACAACCAGTGGTTAAGGAGCATGTGCCCCAGCTTCCCTTCCCCACTCGCCTACACAAAGACAAGCTGGAGACTGAGTTTGCCAAGTTTATGGCAATGTTGAAGCAGCTCAACATCAGCATACCGTTCGTGGAGGCACTGTCGAAGATGCCCAAGTATGCCAAGTTCATGAAAGACCTCCTCACCGACAAGAAGAAATTTGGGGATCTTTCGACAGTGATGCTCAGTGAGGAGTGTTCTGCTATCCTGCAGAACAAGCTGCCCGAAAAGCACAAGGACCCAGGGAGTTTTACTATCCCTCTTACTATTGGCAGCATGCATGTAGGCAAGTCCTTGGTAGACCTAGGCGCTAGCATAAACGTCATGCCATATAAGTTGTATAAAAAGCTAGACCTAGGTGAACTTAGCCCTACTAGGATGAGCATTCAGCTGGCTGATCGTTCCATTGTGCATCCTAGGGGAATCATAGAGGATCTGCTTGTCAATGTCGGTGCATTCACATATCCTGTTGATTTTGTTATTATTGATATACATGAGGATGTGGATGTGCCTTTGATTCTAGGTAGACCATTTCTTGCCACCGCCAAGACACTTATTGATGTGCATGATGGTAAACTGATCCTGCGTGTTGGGAATGAACAGGCTACTTTTTCTGTGACTGAATTTGACCACTGTGCTATGATTGCTGTCACACCTGTGCATGCCATTTCTGATCAGGTACACGAGCCTGTCGTGTATCCTTCTGCACCTCTCATTTTGCAGGACCCTCCTATCATTCCTTCGCCGCCACTCCATCCAGTCTTGCCTCCGAACAAAACAATCAAGGAGGAGTGGCGGCCGAAGTAGCAGGTTGCTAAGCCTGCACGGAAGAAGGGTGGAGACCACTACGAGCTGGTCCCACCTCCTGCACCACGACCACCCTGGCCGTCCGGGTACTCACTCGCCTGCATCTTGCCGGATGGCCAGGTCGAGCTGACCGATGATGGTGGTCGCATCCGTCAGGTGCATGGCCACAACTTGAAGCTGTACCTCAAGAGCGACGTGGATCCGCTCTTGGAGGCACATGTTCCTGCACCTCCCTGAGTATCCACCATGGGTGTCCAGCTAAAAGACGGTAAAGAAGCGCTTGTGGGGAGGTAACCCCACCACGGTTTGACTTTATTTCTTGTGTTTTGAGTCGAATTGTAAACCGGTTTGGTTTTGGTTTGTTTTCTTTTGTTTTGGGTGATGTATTATTGGGCTGACCATTGGACCTAACATATTGTGTTTGAGCTCTTCTGTTCCCCTTTAGCTGTGCTTTGTTCCAGACTGGTCCCTCTCCAGTCCGCTTCACTCGGCGGGTCCGCTTCCAGTCTCATGTAGTCCGTGCACACCGGTAACATCGTTCCCCTTATCCTTCCCTCTTCTCCATTGAGGGCAATGTCGATCTTAAGTGTGGGGGGGATGTTGATCTTTGACTGCATTAGATCTGTTTGTGTGCTTGGAGCCTAGTCCACTGTCCAAATCTCGAGATTTGAGGGCTCCAAGCACGGCTGTTTGCTTGATGTTTGATCGTATTGGCACTGTGGATGTGATTAGTGAATTGAATGGCTTTTGACTTGATGCATGACAACTTGAGTGTGAATAAGACAGCTTATTATGATGACTGAGATGTGCAGTAGAACTGTGTAGGGGTTCAGTTTTCAACTGTTTGCTTACCAAATGTGACTTGGATTGATCACTTGCTTTTGATAGTCATTTATGCATCTGGTTCAGGGAATCAGAACGAGAGATAGAGCATATAGGTAGCCATGTGAGACTTGAGCCTGCTCGTTTCTTTCTTGTGCGATAGTTCCCTCTTCCATGATGTGCAGCATTCACGTTGTCATTAGCTAAGATGATGGAGGCATAGGATTAGCCCACGACCAAATTGACTGTTCTGGTGTGTCATACCCCCTAGTCAGCCCCTTTGAGCCGTGTGTTTTTTTTCCTTTCTTTCGGTCTTCAATGAAAAGTCACCCTTTTGCATCTTTTTGAAGGTTCCACAGAGTGATTTTTACATGTTCTCTGCTGTTTCTGCTAAATGTAATGTGAGGGTTTGAGGTAGTGCTTAAAAGTTGGGCAGGTGTTTGAAAATGTGCAGAGGCGGTGGTTCTCTTAAGAAATGAAAAATAATGAAAGAAAAACAAAGAAAAAAATGAAAGTAAAAGAGAGCCACCACCAAAAATCTGAGTAATGCCCATTAAGTAATGTTTCTTAGCAGTATGGCTTAGAAATACTAGCATTTATGTGACCTCCTTCGCTCTTGCGCTGTGAAGAATTTGAGTAATGCAGAATAGCATAAAGAAAGTTATTGGTTTGATTGACTGTGAGTTTGTTGGGTTTGGAAATGTGGAACCTTGTGCTATGTATACTTCCACCACCTAAAAGGCCTTTTCCCCATGTCCAAGACCCTAGCCAGTCATCTGAACCTGTGTCTAAGACCTCCAGATTAGTTAGTGGTGACACCCCATATGTGAACTCTAGCACTTAGAGGCTGCATTCATGATGAAGAGATGTTAGGGATTGAGAGATTAAGCATGCGCATTTTCGCATCAAATTGTCCTGACCCCACTGGTCGAGAGTGAGCGATTCATTTTCTCTTATTTTCTATACTCTTTATCCCAGTGAGGACCTAGATTGATCGGTCTTAATTCTGATATCTTGAGCTTTGTGCATGAAGTGACTGTTTTGAGTAAGTGGTTGAGTCAAGTCTATGTTGGTTGGTGAACAGAAGGGAGACTCTTCCTTTGCTCGATTTTACTACATTCGAATGTCATCTGTGGTGGTTGTCTAGGTTGTCATTGAGGTTGTCCATGTGTTACTGATCGAAAGCCAGTATGATCCACGTGTTTTGTGCCGATATGACATGCCCTGTTTTGAGCTTACCTTGTGTTTGACTTGGTTTGCTTGGGGACAAGCAAACGGTTAAGTGTGGGGGAATTTGATAACGATGTAATTGCACATATTTGCGCCTCTAGTTCTTATCCGTTTGAGGGGCATAGTCGTGTATTTTTGGCCTATTTTACTCTGGGTTGTGCTACTTTTTCATATTTCAGGTCCCAGGCGTCAAAGGAAAGGCTAAGCACGAGTTTCGGGGCATTCGGAAGTCATTCGGTGAAGCTGGAGCCAAAACACGGGCACACCTAAAGCATTACACGGCCGTGTTCTGAGGCCGTGCTTTTACTGCCGAGAGCTAATTCGAATTTGGCAAACATTGGCTAAAAACACGGGCAGGGCTTAGACAAAGCACGGCCGTGGCCACCACAAGCATGGCCGTGTCCATCATCAAACACGCCCGTGTTTCTCCCAACACAATGGCCGTGTAATTAACCCTAGCCAAAGCACGGGCGGGCTGAAGCAAAGCACGGCCGTGCCCTCGACCGTGCTTTGGCCACTGATGCCCTTTTAAGCAGATTTCAGCCAAAACAGAAGGGGATTCGAGTTTTGAGAGAGATAGAGCGATTCATAGAGAGAGAAAGCGACGAACAAGAGTCTCCAAGTGCCCTAGCTTGATCTTCAACACGATTGGAGTCCAGTTTGAGCTTGGAGAAGTGCCGATCAACGTCCAGGAGCAGGAATCCATCCTTCACAGTATGAATTCCGCGTCTGATTCTGTTTTTGCTTCTTTCTCCATGGAGTAGTTCTCCCATTCATCTGGGTATGGAGAACCCTAGATTTGTATGTTAGGCTTTGATTGTATGAATCCAAGTACTGATTCTATGATTTGATTATGTTCAATTGAGGTTTGAATGATTGAATGGCATGAATCCTGATCAAATTCCTGTTGTTTCTGCTTTAACCTAGAATGAGAATATCTGCCTAGGTTGATAGAGCATCCTTGATTGAAGGTAGGGAGTTGGTGACTTTAGTCGAGGAGCCAACTCACTATTCTGTACCGGATTCACTTCGGTAGTGGAGGTTTTATTCATAGGGCCTCAATCTGTTTACTCCGGTGGAGGTTAGTCGCCCGCTAGAGACTCAGATTGAGAAGGTCTGAAGACCTTTAGTCGAGACTTCAGGCTCTTTAAGAACCTTCCGCAGTATAACTATCATAGAAACTGAACTTGGTAATTACAATCCGGCTTAACTGCAGTCTAGGGGGAACCATATCCGGGTGACCTCTCTTAACCTGAATACAACCGTTTACTTGCTTTGTTAGTTTGTTAGTTTAGACTTGCATTAACGTTTCATTGTTGGATAACAAGAATTCACCGAGTAGTCATCAAATCTAGGACCCGGGTTGACATTTAAACCCAAACCCGCTATACTACGCTTTAGGAAGTGGTTTCACTTGGCCAATTCCTAGGGTGACAGTAGAAGTGAGTCATGGCACAACA